AGATTCCAACTTCTACCGCTAGTTCTCGTGTAGTTATATGAGGATTTTCATTAATAAAATCCTCCACCCTTCCAATTGTTTCTGGGGTGACAGCATCATGGGGACGACCAGAACGAATTTCGTCTTTAATGGTTTGCTGGCCCAGTTCAAATGCCTCAATCCAGCGATAAATTGTACTTTTAGACAGTGCTTTGTCTCCCTCTACAACTATTAGCTTTTTATGAATATCAGCAACTGAAGTGCCATTCTTCCATTCAACAAAAATATAGTAACGTTGATGTTCACGAGTAGAATTTTCCATTTGTTTTTGATGAGGAAATTCAAAAAATATTTTTTTATGAACCAGTCAATCAAATTTCGCCAATTTTTTTTCCTCAAATATATCGATGGTACTACTTTCAGTAAATCATAACTTTGTTTAGGTATACCCACATATTATTGAGTAATACAATGATTCTCATTACTTTTCAGCCATACCACGTATATTTTTGATGTCTTTTTTTCTTTATATCCTAATCTCTCCTTTGTTTTATGAGTTGTTCTCAAAGAGTTAAGTTTTTCTTTTGCTGAGTATAAATTCGGTTCCCACACACTCATTTATATTTACTACTAAATTCGAACATTTCTTGCATGTAAAGGGCAACAATTGTGGAGCTTTGGTAAAAGGCCATATTATTTGCTTTAGTAGCAAGCAAGCAAGGTTAGGACTAATGTTGGTTAACTAGTGAGTGCTAACAATGATTAGTAACATAACCTGCTTTAGTAAGTAGGCAAAGGTTAATCGGAAATACTGTAGTATTATTGTAATCATAAATGTAAGGCTGTTAAACAAGTTATTTGAATTGTTTTGCAAGTAACCAAAGCGAGCTTGCAGTCGGCCAATAAATGTAAACAAGGGTAAACAACTGAAAACAAATCGAATAAAGGAACTTTATAGCATTGCAAAGGGCCATCTTGATTTATTTACAGTTACCTGGTGCCATTAAGTGTGCTCACAGATTTGTCTAGGTGCAAGAAAGAGTCGTAAACTAATTAATTGACAAGCACCGAATTATTGTGAATTAAATGACAAGAGTAGCCCAAAAATCAAGCCATAATTGTTAATTAACCGAAATGATACCTCGCAATATCACCATTTAACAAAATCGAAAAGTTTATTATTTCAAAATATTGTAACAAGATAAGAAATAAAATAAGGATGAGATAAAAAGATAAATAAAAAAATAAAGAATAAATTTATAGTGAAGATTAAATTAGTCATACATCAATTCTTTTACCATTGTTACTAGAATCTAATTAATTAATATTGTTGGTAATAATTATTAAGTAGTAATTTCTAATTAATTAATAATGAAATTTTTATTCTCCTTTGTTCACATTTAGAGAAAAGAGTTACAATCAAGATTGTTTAACGAACTATTACTTGTATAAATTTTCAAGTTTTTAGATTTAGCAATCTCATAATCTAATATTCTACTTTTATGATATGCATCTGGATGTGGTTTGTGTACTTGTTGCGAAACACTACCAGTACCACCACTAGTATTATTATTACTATTATTATTTTTAATAATTTCACCATGTTTATTATCAGCAAAGTTCCAAAGCTCTTCAATAGTTGGTCTTTTTGATGGATCCACATCCCAACACTTCTGCATCATTTGCGCATAATCTTCAGGCATTTCAGGTAGTATTGGTGGTCGTAAACCTTCTGCACATATATCAAAAATCAAACAATGATTGTAAGCTCTATCATCAAATGGTGGATGACCTGCAAATATTTCACACATTAACATCCCAACACTATAGATATCAGATTCTTTTTGCCTCTAAGTACTTCGGGTGCAACATATGGTACAATTCCATAGACTTTATCTGATGACTTTTCATCAACTGGTCCACATAATCCCAAATCTGCAATATAACAATTATCTCCATACATTAATATATTACCACTATGTAAATCACAATGAATTAAATCTTTTTCATGTATATAACCTAATGCCAAACATAAATACATAAAGATTGTAATCTATCTTTTAATGTTAAATTTAAATGATTTTTTTTCAAATAATCCCTTAAATTTCCTTCTGAATGATAATTTAAAACTATTGCATAATTCCCATTATCTGGAAATTTAGTTATACCATAGCACTGAATAATTAAATTTGATTTAATTTTGCAATAATTCATTACCTATTGAATATAAAATCAATTAGTATTATATAATACAGTATTGTTTATTTTGTTTAAATGACGACTACTAACCTCATCAAAAAAGGCTTTTCCTGGATTACTTGAATCATTTAAACTTTTTAATACTACTAGTTGCTCTCCTAAATAACCAAATTTCTTTTTATTTTCGTCATAATCATTTATTTGTCCTCTTGTCCATGTAGCAGTATAAATTGAACTAAATTCACCTTCTGTCAACTTTGTTATATCATCAAATTGCTCAAAAGTTATCCATTCTAAAATATATCCTGGCAAAGATGATTTCATTTGACAAAGTTGGATAAAGTCATCAATTATCTTATTTCCAGAAGTCCAATTAGTGAAAAGACTCTGTAATTGTAAACTAATACAGCCTTCACAAAATCTATCAGAGTATCTTATCAATTTACACTTGTTACATTTTTTTGGGTTTCCCGATTTATCTCTTGCATTTGTTAATTCAAACTCATAAATAAAATTTTCTTCACAAAATTTTTTTTCATTTTTAGAAAGCTCCTTGTTTTTTTTGACCAATGAAAAAAAATAATCTTTTATATTTTCTTCATCAAAATTATTAGCAATTGCATTCTCACACATTTCATTATAAATTTTATATACAAATTCCACTCTTTCTGGTGATGATAATCTATTCAGTGTTTCTATAACACCCAAAAATAAAATTATTTAATTAGATGATGTTTTAATAAAGTTTATTTTGTATTGTAAAAGTTAATTTATAATATAATACTTACGTGCTGGTTAGTATCAAGAAATAAAAAACAAATTCATTTAATTAGATGATATTTTAATAAAGTTTATTTTGTGTTGTAAAAGTTAATTTATAATATAATACTTACTGTCTATAAATGAAAAATAAATTTATTTAATTAGATGATGTTCTAATAAAATTTATTTTGTGTTGTAAAAGTTAATTTATAGTATAATACTTACATGCTGATTATTATAAAGTAATAAAAAATCAAATTACTTGATTAGATGATGTTTTAATAAAAATTGTTTTGTGTTATAATTTATAATAATACCTTTATATTCTTCTTCTTCAATTTCGTCAACAATTTCAATTTCATCAGTAATCTCAGCAATTTTTTTTTTATCTAATATATCTAATAGTGATAATATTTAAACAACTATCAATAATGAATCAATAATCAGTAATTTTAAGTAACTAATAATTTTTAATTTACCATCAAGCAAATTTCCAAAAACTCTACTAAGAGAGTTATTTAATGAAGACATGTTAAAGATATCACCTAAGTCAGTTCCAAAACTCTAATGATAAATAAATAAATAATGATATATTTAAAGTTGTTGTGACAATGCTATGTAATAAATTACGTTGATAGATTAAGTTCGATTTCAAATGTAGGTATTTGATAAAATGAGAAAATTTACCTCTTTGTTATTCATCATTTCTAAATTTCTGGTGTTTTTGCTATAAAATCCTATTTTTGCAGGAGAACCAACCATTGCCCATATGATATGAGAAACATCATTTTGATTTTCATCAAACCTATAAAAATAAATAAAAAATATTATTTTTTAATCATTAATATAAGGATAATATTATATGTATTTGATACCTTTCAATGATTATTGAAAATCCATACTGATCAAAATATTTAAATACAATAATAATATCAGAACATTTTTCAGAATTTTTATTAAAAATGGTTCCATAAATTTGATATTTATCACTTTTCAAAGAAGTTTTAAAATCAACTCTATAATATTTTTTATTTTTATGTTCAATTTTAATTAAATTCATCATTAATATTTGATCTTTGAAAAGAAGTTCAATTCCTTTTTGTAATGATTCTTCTAAAATTTTATATAGTGGAATTAGATCAGCATAATAAATTACATCCCAAAATTCTGAATTTTCAGCCATTATTTTTATCCATTTAATTACTGAATTTCTTTTTGTTGTATGTCCATTTACATTAAAAAAAATTTTATTATCAAAATTAAAATCATGATTGATCTTCCTATGAATCTCATCCCATTCTTTTAGCATTTCATCAAGTTTTTCATTGTTATTTATGTTTGATGGATCTATTGATTTTTCAATTGTTTTTTCTGTAAATAAATTTTCTAAAAATAATATAATTTAATTTAATAAAAAAAATTTTTTAATTTAAAGATCAATAAATTATGTGAGTTTATAAATTTATAATAATTATTATCATTACCATTTAAATCCAAATGTTGTGATCTTGATAATTTTCCACCTAATATAATTTTTTTGCATAATAAATGACCATAATCACTAAATATAATTTCAAGCTCATGATAAGGATTTTCTGTATCTAAAGCCTTATGCACATCTTTAATTAATTCATTTGATGGTACAAAATTTTCAAATGTCAACTCAATTTGTTGACTACTGATCTCAAAATGGATTGTTTGTTTAAATTCTAAATTCAATGGATCTTCTACTTTTTGTTTAGATTCTAAATTGCATGAATCCTTTATATTTTGTTCAGATTCTAAATTCCATGAATATTACTTTTTAAAAGATAAGAATGTAATAATGAATTTGTGATTGTCAAGTTAGTTTTTATAGAATCAGTTGAATTGATGTTATTAATTTTTGGATTTGTTGAAGAACTAAAAGGTTGGATAGGCTGGATATTTCCTTTTTTAATGCCCATTTCATCAATAACCAATCCATTTTGAAGTTTAAATTTCTCAATCCAAGATGGTAAATTTTCATCATCAGGTAAATTTAAATTATCAAGGCTTTGTTGTTTTTTTGAGTTCATTCCACTTGATATATAAAGTATAAAGATCTGATATTTTATAGTAAAATAATTAATTATTCAATTAATAGTAGATCAACTCAATAGCCACGTTTTTGAAAAAAAGTTATAATATATAATAAAAATAATTTATAATTTATAATATTGGAGTATTTTTATTTTAAAATAAGATAAAACAACTTGGAATTAAGTTATTAGCATAAATATAATCTTGACAAAGTTGTTATTGTTAAAATTTACGAATTTAGTATTTATTGAAATTAAAAAATTTTTTTTTGATAATAAATTAATTTTTATGTTAAACATTGTTATAAAAATTAATGACAAAGAATTCAAACAAATACTTAATGTCGACCTAAAATTATCAAAAGTTCGTATATTTATCTTAAAAAATCCTGAAATTCAAAGTTATATTGATTACTCTGAAAATATTTTAATCTTTCAACATAATGGTAATGATATTGATGTAAATAGAGAAAACCAAGCATTATCAAAGATTCTTGTTAGTAATGAATTATTTATTAAAACATTCAAAAATAGTGAACCTACTGATGTTTCATTTCAAATTGAAGGAGTAGGGCATTTTGAAGAGTTGCCTTTAAATATGAAATTGGACATAGTTAGATTATTTATTTTAAATAAACGTTTAGGTTATGATAATTATTCATTTATACATCCAATTTGTGGTGAAATAGGAGTAGATAATGAATATAAATATACTTTGGAGAAAATAATTGAAAAAAATGATAAAAATATTAATTTGATAAACTTAAGCAAAAAAAACAGACCTAATTTGTCAAAGTTAATTGAATCTTGCGAGTCTGGATTTAATATGACAAAAGATGAGGGAACTAAAAAGGCTCCTAGAAAAGCAATTACAATTATAGATCCCAAATTTGAAGAATATGATAATCCAAAAATAAGAGGGTTTGTTAAAAAATGTAATGATGTGCAAGAAAATTTATATGAACGTAACATAGCTTTGGTTGGCAATTTATTATTACCATGGCTATCATCTTGTATTGGTTTAAAAAGTTCAATTGAATTTGAAAAGAAATTGGACATGGCTACTTCATATTCAATTGAAAAATCAGAATATGCATCAATTGAATTTACAAAATCAAATTATTGTTTGAAACCTGAATTTGAAGATGATGTTAAATCTGCAGTTGATTCAAAATTATCATTAAAAGAAAAACTTGAGAAACTTGAGAAAATCATTGAAAACTATGGTCAATTTATATCCAAAAAAATCATTTTTGGTGGTAAAATTGTAAAACAACTTACAAGTGAAGCAAATCAAGGTAAATTCAATATTTTAATATTATATTATATTATATATTATTTTTTAAAAAATTTAAAAATAATTAGTGATTAAATTATTTTGTTAGTTGGAGAGTCATCTTCAAATACAAAAAACATTGAATTAAATATAAGTCACCCAAGAACTGTTGGTGCTGGTGCATCTGCAAGTAAAACAAAATCAGTAAATGATATTACAAGATCAAGTGAAACTATATCATATCAATGTACAATAGGTGGAAATGGAAATGGAGCTCTTTTAGATGATTGGTATGAATCTCTTCGTGATCCTGATAAGTGGGATATAATTGAATATAAAGATGTTATACCTATATTTGAAATATTACCAGATGATCTAAAAAACCAAGTATTGAAAATTATTGGCCAAAAAATACTTGATGGTATGTAAATTACATTGCATTTGCTTATTATTATCTTAAAATATTTATCTTGGATAATTATTTACTATTTACAATATGAACACATTGATATAAGTTAAAACTTGTAGAATTGTTTACGATGCTGAAAAAAATAAAAATAAGGCTTATGTTCATAGATTAGTGCATAATATTCAAGATATTGATAAATGTCAAATATTTTCAACAATAGTGGAAGAAGATGAAAATGGGAATAAAAGTGAAAATAAAAATTTATTTAATGCTAGAATTGAATATATTGGGGAAAAAAGTCCTGTAATTGTAATTCACAAAATTAACAAAAAGAAATCAAAAAATAAACACAACTTAAAGATTAGTTATATAATTGTTGGATATGGTTTTAGATCTAAACCTGGGCTAGATATTAGATTTATTGGCGAAGAAAAGCAAATTAAACATTATAACAATAGATTTATTGCAGAAATTGAAAGACCAACAAATGAAGGATCAATAATTGGATCTTGTGTGATTAAATCATATCAAAATCCAGTTGATCCAGAGGATTCAAAAATTATCAGTTTACATTTCCATCCATCAGATAAAAAAGTCTGTATTCACAGTTATGACCTTAATACCAAAGAAATAATTGAACCCTCCTTAGATGATTGTTATATTCATTATAGGTAAATATATACTTGATTATTTATTTTTATATTTGATAAACAAGCTTTTAAAAATAAATGTTAACTTATTATTATTTTAATAAAAGCACATTTGAATTCTCAGGATCTGATGAACCTTATGGTAAAACAAAGCTTACTTTTAACAATGATAAAAAATTTTTTAAAAATGATAAAAATTCTCTGTGGATAAAATATGACAACTGTACACAAAATCAGTCGATTTTTATGAATCTACTGTTTGATTGTAATGACCAACCAGTAGTAAAACCAGTAAAACCAGTAAAACCAGTAGTAAATGTAGTATTTAAACCTAATGTTATATTTTCAGCACTTTGTGAAAAAACTTGTATTTCAAATAATGATGTTTTGAGCTTTTTAAAATTATTAATTGATAACGAAAAACAATCCACAGGTGCTCCAAAGTAAAAGTTTTTTATTTTCTTATAATGAAATCAAAAAAAAAGGCGTATTAAGTATTAGCTGTATTTATTTTAATTTATTTTATTCAATATTATCCTTGTATTAATAATAAATGTTTCACGCGTGAATTTTAAATTTTGAAATATTAACACCCTCAAAATATATCAATATTCTTAACCTATAAGCTTATTATTAGATGCAATTTTTTTATATTTTTATATGATATATTTCAATGACATTGATAATATCGAGTACATAAAATTTTCATATTTTAAATGTGGGTTTTTTTACCAATAAATACATGAACCCATACTCATAAAAAAATTTAACAATACATGATAAAAGAATTAACATCCGACAGCACCAAAAAGAGAAGAGGCTTTGTATAATTCATTGAATTTAAAATACTATTTTGCAGTGTTGGGAATTGGACTGGCAATTTTGTCAATACTGCAATTTGAGTTAATTAGTTAGTGTATTTGATAATTTAAAATGGTGGTAATGGTGATATGGAATTTATTTCACAGTTTGTTGATGAAATAAACAATATAAACAAAATCCAAATATAATGTTGCTCCGGTTAGATCAAATTTTGACAGAATCACAAATAAACTGGAAGTATTTATTAATGATGTAATTGATTGATGAAGTAAGAAGTAATGAAAATTATCTTTGTTTATTTCTAGAAATAAGGATGTCATTTTAATGATGGTTATTATCAAGTAAATGATTTTGAATGGTGATAAAAGTGGGACAGGGACAAGGATAAGTATGAGTAATGGAGTTTCAAATAAAGAAGATAGTAGTATTAATATTGAAGAGCGTGACAATAATGTTGGTTTCCAAAACTAGAGAGTTTCGTCAACTGTGCGAAAGTCAAAAGGTTTCGCCATAAGTCAAAACTAGTTTTGACCTTTGACCTTTGACTTTTGATTTAGTTTTGACATAAAAATTTTAATTTTAGTTTTGACTTTCGCTTCTTCAAAATTGTTTTGGCAATCAACACTAGTGGCAAAGGAAGGTCTTAGAAGAGGGTGTACCAAACGACATCAATGGATTATCTGCGAAAATTTAAATCTACAAGGAATACTATCAGAAACTTGCTTGACACAGAGGAGCAAAACGTGCGAATTTATAAAAATGATAATAACAATTATAGATTTATGAACATTAATAACAACAACAATAATGGTTTTCTTTTTTTTTTCTTTTAGGATACGATTACTTATGCGGAACATGAAAGCTTAATACAATTGTTGTGCGTGAATTTGGGAATCTGCGTCAATTTGAAAATTCACACGTGAAATTCAAATTAGCCAATCAGAATTTTGCATTCAAACGCCCAAAAATTAATATTCAAATTGCACAACACAATCACTCACATCTATGGATGTTGGTAAGTTAGTTCGCAGCATATTGTTATATATCATATTATAAATCCGTTAATTACCTTCGATCATTATTAATTAATTAAATTCTAGTGATTCAACAATGAAATAATTTTAGCATTATTTTTTTGTTTCTATTTTATCATTTTTAAAACTTCAATTAAAACTTATAAAACCTGTGCTTTGCTTACTATTTATAATAGTGAGTGACAATATATAATTTCTACATATATATTTATATATTCATAACCTAATGTAAAAGTATATACATATATATGTTGTGGAAAAAACTGCGGTGACGAAAAATACCAAGTGCCATTTTTTTGCAACATTGTAATAATTTATAAATATACATGAATCCGTTTTGGAAGAGAAAAAAGATTCGAAGAAAATTTTATAATTTTAAAATTGTCACGAATAAAAATATATATTAGACCTATATGTGAACTATAACACTAACTTAATACATCTATATTATTAATATACATATAATCCACAAAGGTATATGCTTCACATACAAATAACGATCCATGAATGCATGTAATAATATGCTGTTCACATGTTGTTCACATGTAGAATTCACATATAATTTTAGAGGTGTTTTTCTGACGAATACGACTCAACCGAACCATGAAGTCTTATAATGAAATTGGTATGTTAGTGGCAGTAACTCTACTTGATAGTTATTAAGGCATTCATCTTAAACAAAGACTTGATATCATCAAATTCCGCCGTCTAAAGGGATCGCATTCATTAGCCAAACTTTTTTAATGATAAACAAATAATGTACCACGCGTGATCAGACAGGTATACGCTTTTTCACAAAGTCTAAACAATCATGCATCAATTGGCGTAAATCCGGTTACTCTACACAGCGTAGCTAAACTGAGTATTATCTTACATAAGGACCTTCAACAAATTATACACTATATCCGCACGATCATATATACCATCATATTTGAACTCCAAATAAATATTCTTACTAACACAATGTTCTAATCCTTTGTCTATTTCAAAGCCTCAAAGTATCGCATCATTTGCTGTATAACTTTTTTAACATCTTTACGAAATGATTTACCTCCTCTTTAGTTTATTCATTCATCTATTCAACAAGCAGTGCAATTCTAATAGTAGCAAGGAGTGAGTGTCCAATTTAACAGAAAAGTTTCCATTTTTTTAAGATAGAAACTTAGTTAAAGTCGATGTAATAGTGTTAACGGTAAAATTACTTATAAATGCAAGTAGGTATAATTTTGCTATATTTTCATTTTTTAAAACGTTTTCATTCATCTCTTTCTCTGATTTTCAAAAAATGGATAATGCAAGGCCAAGAAAGTTTCACACAAAGAAATGCATGGGTTCGATATCATAATACAGGAATTTTTCTTTTCAAATGGTGTAAAATTCAAATTTTTATAACTTTTGAAAGAAAAAATTTGCCAAATTAAAAGTATATATATATATATATATGCTTGGGTCATAATTATTTGCATTCTTGTTTATTGTTGATTAAAAAAGAAATAAACGTTCCAAAACTTTTGATCAAGTACTGACTACATGTGAAAAGTGGTGAGTTGGTTGTAAATGCTCACTGGCTTGTTCCACTCGAAGCTCATAAATTTTCTGGGCTTGAAGGCTTTGTCAAAAGTCGACTATGTGGCGGTGTGGATACATTTGCGTTTAGTGAATCTGGTTCATTCAACCTTTATCATGTCTTTTAAAAAATCATCCACTTTAAAGAATTATAAAGGTTGATTTTATATTATTTTTTTTGTTGGAAAGATAAAAATAATGTCATTTCGAGGCCTGGATAATTTTCTCTTTGCAATGATGTCAATGTATCTTCTTCCTGTGAGTTTGACCTGCAAAAGTTTGAACATTTTGTAAATGGGTGGGAATTCGTTCGCTTGAATGCCTACGAATTTATCCAAGGCTCACTTGATAAAATTTAATTCACTTTTTGGGATACTTCAAATTTCTTAAGTATAAGGGTCAACTTAAAAATATTTACATCTAATAGATAGATGGATTGATTAATAGAGAGAATAATAAAATAAAAATTTTTTTTTGTCAATAAAAAGAGTAAAGAGCACATGCTACCTATGATAATAGACATTTGTTATACGAATCTAAAAATTTCATTTATTTCTCCTGACCCATCATCATTATCACAAATTAAGTGGGTGACGTAACAGAAAATATTTTTGCTTGTTATATTATATTATTATTGGCCCGATTTGTATTTTCATTTGTTATATATGTTGTAAACTTGTTTGCTTTGTTTTGTCTTACATTGTAAATGGAGAGTTTTTATTATTTCCAACCGTTATTATTATTTAATTAATATAGCTTACAAAAAAAAAAATAGATATATTCAAGAAATTATTCAATATTTACTACTATGGAAGAAATTCGATCTTACACCCTCACTGATAATGGTTAGTCTATATTAATATATATATATTTATTTTTTTATTTGTGGAATAAATTTAGTCCAATAAAAATAATTCAAAAAAATTATAGTTACAGGAGATGTTGATTATTATAAAAAATGCATTGAATTGCAAAAAGAAAATAACGAATATAAGAATATAATAGAAATCATAGAATATGAAACAACTAAATCAAAAGAAAATGAAAAAAAATTACAAGAAGAGTTATCCGGTGAAAAACAAAAATCTGATTATCTAAATAATTCTTATAAACAATTAACCAAGGAAAATTCTGATTTGCAAAAAATAAATGAGGAAATCAAGAATATAATGGAAGTAACAAAATATGAAAAAAACGAATCAATAGAAAATGGAGCAAAATTACAAGAAGAATTATCCATCATAAAACAAAAATTTAATCATCTATATGAAGCTTACGAACAATTATCTAAACAAAATGCAGAAGATAGAAGGATTGATGAAATTGATGAAGTTGCTATGGGTAATAATAATAAAAAAAAAATTATCAAGATTAAAGATCTAAAAAACTTGAACAGAGAGCTAGTAAATAAAAATAGGAAATTGATGAAAGAGGCTTCATATCAAACAATTTTAGGAGATGGATTAAAGTTCCGCATAAGTGACGATCATGAAGATAATTCAGCTCATCTTGCAACTGATGTGATTAGTTTACAGGAGAGCATTGAGAAATATGTTACTAATTTAAAGGGCTCTTCTATGGTAATCAACTTTGAGACAGTTCAAGAATTATACAAAAGATATAATGTGCAAGCTCAAAATCTAAAAGATAAAATTTTGATGAAAGCAGTACTACAACGTTATATTCTGGAACAAGTTTTGAAATGGGCAGATGATTATTTTGAAGTTAAAGAACATGATGATTTAGATCATCCTTCTAATCAAGAAAAATATATCGTAAACCATACAAATCAATTATTGGATTTTCTTAATAACCAATTTTATCCTACTAATTTCATACAAGATAATAGTAGTATGGTGATTAAAGACATTCCAACAAAAATACGACAGTTTACATATCTCGCATTAACTGAACTTGGATTCTCTGGAACTGAACAAGAACATTCATTTATATCACGCACAGCAAAAAAACTTAATCGACTAATGACCAGATATCGTGTTATCAAAGATGAAAATAAAAGAAAGAATGTAGAAGACATGGCAGAAGGTCTTGTCAAAGAAATTGTCAGGATATTTAAATTCTTATTATTAGTTCAAGAACCTAAATGCAAAGTACATTGGTTTACGAACAATGCAAAGCTAGATTTTAGATTTATGAAAGTTTTATCATGGGATGATGGGAATGTGGATGATTATGTTATGGAGATTTGTTTTTTTCCCTTTATAGGAATAATGGATTCGGATGGCAATCCTAGTAAATTGATTACTCATGCAAGAGTCTATCCTCGAAATATTACAAACCCTCAAGAAACACAAGATATGTCGAAGAATATATCATCAGCAGTATCAGAAAACTTGCTTCAATCTGAAAATCTACAAGATGCAGAATGAAAATGGGGCCATTGATATGTTCCAAGAGTTTTTCTTGGATTCCATTGTCATTACAGAAAAATATTGTGATAAAATTTTTTTTGTTGTCTAAAATTAATTTGATTTTTTTCCATTGAACAATTTATTTATATGACATTTATCATAGTTTTTAATAATAATAAATCTAAAAAAGAAAATTCATCATCTTTATTTTCTCTTTTACGATTACGATCTCAAAATTCTTTTTTTAATAAAAAAAAAAAGAACTTAACATGCACACGTAGACACATGACAATACGCATAATCAAAATAAATTGAATCGAAATAAAATTAATGATTGCTCATTATTATTACATCGAACTCCGGGAATCCCATTAATATCAAAGAAACCAAAGCATCAATGAAAAGATGTACCGATCTTGACTCGACCATCGTATCCTCATCATCATTTACCAACACTAGTAGAACTACAACGTTCAGAACTAGATAATACAATATCATAATAAAAGTATGTGTATATATGTATGCGTTGTACATATATATATATTAATATGTAGATACATATTTGAGAACTTTGTTAGAATGTGAGAGGTGTAATATGTGTTAAAAAGTGTATGTGTTTTCATATATTTCAAATCTTTAAATTTTTTTCTTTAAATATCTCTGAATTTTTACTTGTATTATATATTTGGATTTAATCCTTGGAAATAAATATGACAAGCATGTTGTTGCTATAGAGAAAAGGAAAAAAAATTTTTATATGAATAATGAAATAATGAATAATGAATAATGAATAATGAATAATGAATATAATAATGAAATAAGAGGCCATTGTAAAATACTATATAAATTATAAAAATTCAAAAAAAGTAAATAATTTCCTTTCTTCGTTAATTTGTTATTATACGCATTTCTACCAAATCAAAACGAGTTAATGTATTACGATTTTATTGGTCACACGTGACCAGCAAAATAAATAGCATGGCATGACATTAACGAATTGAAAAGCCAACATACACACTTTAATTGTCTTTAATATAAATTATATACATCTGTGAATCAGTTAAACATCTATTTTCGTATAACAAGAATATAATACAATAATAAGTATTACCAAACTCGGTTAATACTAGTAGGTTATAAGTTGCCTGCTAAAGTTCATGCAAGTAACAAGATGTGCGATATCATATAACCTTTAAAAGATGCATATCTCATCTCAAAACATTATTCATTTATGGTGAATGAGCGAGCGAGTGCGAGAGTTTCCAAGCTAAAAGAAAATGATTCTTCTTGGAAAAGACGCGCGCGCACGCACACACACGCACACACACATATAAAAAGTATTTTTGATTGAAAAATTGGCTGTGCGAAATTAAAAATGGGGTTCTTTTTTGTCGCACGGAGTTTTTCTAGAAAGGATTGTTTGCATGAGAATGGCGTGTGTGTATGTAACGTTATTTGTTGCAATTTAATGTTATTTACTTCATTCGGGGTCTAATTTGCAATCTGGTTCATGTGAAACTGTCAGCTGATGCAAATTACTGAAGAGGAAAAAGACAAGACAAGCATAGTAACGGACATCTGAAACCAACTTATCTATTTAAATATTGTTGATTGGATATTATTCGTCATGATTATCGGTTTTTCATTGAATTAGAGTTTCACGTTCCTTGAATAATTTACGGGTTGGTGTATGCAAGAAGGAGACAATATTAAAGAGGTAAAGTGGAAACAAAGTATTGTTTATTGATTGATTGATTGATTGATGTGTGTGATTTCAGTAACGGTAATTATATTAACATGAGGATTGTTATGTAAACAAATATGTACTAATTCCTTGCAAGAACAAATCATCACCTAAATAATATTCCCGATTAAAAATAAGCTTAAATTTCTCTAGGTCATTTATTTTCGCTATAGTCAGTAATAAATAAATAAATAAACGGGTTATTTGTTATTGTCGTAATCGTTGTTATCTGTTATTATTATGACTTTGACTATTATTGTACAGGATCAGTTCCATAAATAAAAACGCGTAATTCTTTGTTTTATTTGTTTATCATTAACAAGCCATTTAATCCAAAAGGGTTGAACAGCCAACCGTAAACAAAATAAAAACTAGATGAAGCAGAGAGATATTTATTATTTTTTCGAAAAAAAAAAAAAACAATTGATTTTATTGTACTTTATTATAAAATACTTTTTTTATTTAATACTAATATTAATTTATGCACATTTACATACATGTGTTCCTTGAGGAAAAAAAAAAAAAAAGAAATTTTTTATGCAGGTCATTTTTTTAATTGAGTTTGAAATGACCTTTAAATGATTCGATGTGAATTAATTTCCGAAAAAAGGAGAAAGTACACCGCTGCTGCGTTCGGTTATTTAAACAAAACACAAGCTTCTAGACTACACGCGCGTACGAGTATATTAAAAAAAAGCCATGATTTAAAAATCGATATTATTATTATTATTACTATTATCATCAATAACCATTCAATTACTACAATAAAGAGGCAAAGTCTAAAATTAATTAATGCGTGCGTAATTGTTGTTATCGTTGCGTATAGTTGGTTGGACGGTTTGATTGACTGGTGAATGGGGGGATTATTGATTATATTGATTTGCTTGTCAATCATTGTAAACTAAGATGGCATCTATCCGTTAACAATCATATTTAGTTAAGCATTAAAGTTATTTACAAATAAAAAACTCTCTCGCACAAATTATATTCCTTGAGAGTAATAGGAAATTACCAACCGACAGACACGCATAAATAATCATTGTTTGTTAACTATATGATTTTTCTGATTGAAATTTGCATTCTGTATGACAAAATAATTACAAAAATGGCAAAGAAGGTAAAAGGAATATTTGGCAATTGATGTTACAATTAAGAAATCCTTGAATGTTCCTGAAAGCGTAAATTTTTCGGTGGTTTTAATCAACCAAATTACCAATCGATTAATTAATTAATCAACTAATCAATTAATAGCCAAGATAAATAAAAAGGTAATCGCTGAGCATTCGCTGAGTTCAATGGTAGAAATGAATTTTTAATTGTTTTTAAATGAGAGTTTTAAATATTACATGATAATAGTTGTAATGGAACCTTCGATATGCTTGTATAATAAAAATTTATGTTTTTGTTTGTTTATTATTTTAATCGTAAGATAAATAAAAATTTTTATTGAAAACTAATTTTGAATTAATTAAATTAATTAAATATATTTATTCATTTTATTTATAATAATAATAGGTTTACTAAATATATAATAAATATATTTTTAAAAATAGATTGCTCTAACTAAAATTATTTTTTAAATTAGAAATAAAATTTATTATCGAAAAAAAGTTTACGCGTAATCTGGTATAGCAATTGGTGTGTTTGTAAATTCGTGAATTCTCCAACATCATGTTATTTTTGAGAATGTTCCAAGTTGTAAATTGGAGATTTTTTTATTCATTATCACTTTTATTCATGTTCCTTAATTACAATTACCCTGTTTCATTGTTACTAAAAATAAAAAACATTACATCAGTTGTGATCAATTAACGGGCGAATAAATCAATTCTTAATTATCAGTCATCAAGAATTATTTGATTGGTGAATCATTCATTCTTAATTAACTAGTGAATTTGTTGATACTTTGACAGAAGCTATAAGTGTCAAAGAAACATATTTATTTACCAATTATAGAAACTATTTTTTAAAATTTCCAAATTTAGTAATTTTATGGTAAAATATGTAGATCACATCGAAAGAATGAATGAATGCTAAAATAGTTTTGCATTGTTTATTGTCAATTAAATTTGAATTTTCTTTGAAACACAAATTTAGATTAATACAATAATTTCATCTAATAGAAAAAATTAAACAAAATTGAATATATATATATAACTAGTCACTGTGGATAATAAATATAGGTAAAAAACAAAACAATATTCTAAACTACAATGTAATTTTTTTTAATTTTTATTTTTTCAAACGTATTAAAAAATATCACTAATTTAGAAATTAATCATTAAGCGTGTGGAAATTTTACCTTTTTTTGATCGAAAAGAAATTATTTACAATTAAAATATAAAAGAACAAGAAGTAGGGCTGGTTGATTGGTTAATTAATTAATTTAGTTAATTAATTCCTTCGCCCATTGTAGAAAAAAGAAGACCAACAAATGTAAAGATAATTAATCTCCGAACTCGTTCATTCTTTTAAAAATACTAATATTAATGAATGTACGATGAACAAGCAAAGATTCTTCCATTCATCACCTTGCATTGTCATTTATTGATATTTATGGTAGCATATATACACCCAGTGATTTTCTTTCGTCATAACTACCATTTAAAGAGAGTTCATTAATCCCGTTTTAGGATTTCAAAACGAAGGCGGGCTCATCAATTATTATTATCATCTATTAATAACCATTACCAATAAAAAACTGCACTTGATATCAATTACAACTCTCTGACAATCAATGCTTTGTAGTATTGATAAGCATAAATATCTTGAATTGTTCTTGAATTTACCACATACATAAAGATCAAGCTGATGCTGTTGTTGATGTTGATGCAAGAAGATGTAGAAATTTGTGATTTTCAGGCGTGTCATTTCAACTAGTCGTCTGATTGGTGGTACCTTGCATTTTATTTTAGTGACAAATTAATCATTTTTTAAACGAAGAATCAAGTTACATGATATATTTTTTCAACAATCCGTTATTATTGTTAGTTTGGTTAACTAGTATCTGACAAAAATAATCTCAGATTGAGTTTATCATTGTTCATGATGTGTAAATATTTGCAAAAGAGTGAATTTTTAAGAATACAATGAATATTGAATCACAACAACACCGCCACCAATAAGAAACATTCATTTGTTGAACGCGGAAATTTATAAAATTCAAAATCTAAAATCTAAAATTCAAAAATCCAAAACTATTGTAATAATAATTGTAATAATTATTGTTATGCGTGGTTGCAATAAAAGTTGTGATGCAATAATTATAATGCAATCAAAAATTATGAATAAATATTTTGAATTACATGTATATATATCTATTTGGTATTATGATATTTTTACATTTACCTGACAAAAATAAACCATATTTCATGGTGTGGGAAGAATTTTTTTCTCTATAAAATTATAATAACAACGAGTTTCATATTGTAAAACTGCTAAATAAAAGGAGACTGTTTATTTTACACAAAGTTTTTAATTTATTTATTCCTGGCAATTTAATATTTGCCTCACTGCTTGCCCTCTCACCCGCTTGCTATCACTGTTTGCTTTTTGTGATTGATTATTCTTTTAATTGTGTGGAAGATTGTGATGAAAATGATCATTGATTCTTTCTTTATCAATTTGTTTATCTGCTTTAAATGAAAATCTCGTCTATAAGAGAACTAGTGTTACATTATAGTGGGCCGATCGTCAGCTGTTTAGGTCACCGGAGGTTCCTCCATTCATTTGAAATAAATTATCTACTTTAATACAAGTGCTTGTGTAATAACTTTGTATAAATATGGATTATGTAATTATTTAAGCATTCATTTAAAATTAAATACAATTTGTATTAATAGATTACTTATTTTTATTACCAATCTTTTAATCAAAAGTTACTAGATTCAGTTTGAATGAAATGATATGATACGTCGAGTTAATAGCCCCCTTTAAATAAACTATAAATGAGAGCAATGACGCAAACGTTAAATTAAAAAAAAAACTCGACACTAAAAATCATGATCAGCAGTAGAAAAGAATGTAATTTTTTTTAGACTAGACGAGTAATTTGTTGTTTTCCCAAGTATAAAATTTTTATTTTATTATTTTATTATATTAATTTTTATTTATTATTATTATTATTATTATTTATTATATTAATAGAGAATTAATATCAACTATAATGGCAAACAAAAAAAAATAAATTTTTTACGCGTAATAAAAAGTTAATTTAATTTAAAAATTTTTTAAATATGAATTAATTAATTAATTAATTAATTAATTAAAATGTATTGGAAAAAGTTTGTTTTTTCAATTTAGTTATAACACACACATATAAAAAAAATTTTCTTTGCTATAAATACATCTCTCATAATTCATTTTACTTGTTAATCCCAAATCAAGTATCCAAATGCTTTAAAAAAGTTTTTATTTTAAAATATTTTGATTATTTTATGAAGTAAAAATACAAAATATTCATTTATATATATCACCATCGTTCATCATTCTAACCAATCAATCTTTAAATAAATAAATAAATAAATTCTTAATTAACCTAATAATTATTATTAAATAAAATTTTCTCCTCTCTTGTTCTTTTTCTTTAACTTTCAAACCTTCGAAAAAGAAAAAGAAAAATCTTATTTAAAAAGTGCGTTATTTTTCATTCTGATTTTTTTTTTCATTCAAATTTTTTTTTTTTTTGAAAAAAAAAAAGTTAAAGAACAAATAAAAAATTTAGGGTTGTGCAAGTTATCCTTCACAATACACAAATATAAAAAATACAACATTGAAACTTAATTATTTTTTTCCCCCTCTTTTTTCAATTAAAACTTACTTTCATTCTACACTTATATAATATATAATTTTTATTTACTATTTATTTATTTATATTTATTTTTTTTAGTAATAATTAAAAAAAAAAATTTTTTTTGGGAAAACCCCATTTTTCAAAAAAAAAAAATTTTTAATATAAATAACCTTTCATTTCCGGGTTTTTTTACCTTCTCTTTTTTTTTTTTTTTCTTTGTCTCAACGCCTAAAATTACATATTATTTTTATTTTTTTTAATTTCTTTTTAATTTAATTTTATATTTTATTTATATTTTTATTTATTACTTAATAATTAATAATAATAATTAATTAATAATACTTTTTAATTTTCACAAGAGGGACCATATTTCTCCTATAAAAAAAAAACAACTTAATTCTTTTCTTCTTTAATTAAAATAATATAACAATTAATTTTAATATATATCTAATTCAAATCCATCACCCTTATCGTGACTATCTATAATCTAATTGACTGAATTTTTTAACAAAATAATAATTACAACAACACACACACCTCTTCTCTAATGAATCACCATCACCATCATCAACAATTTTTACAAAGAATGACAATGCAACAACAACAACAACAAATGATAATAGCAGCCACAAGAAATCAATCACAATCATCCTCATCCACAACACCGGGAACATTCCAATATATTTCCCAAGATGAACTTCTCAGTCTATACGAACAACGAAAGGGAACACAATACTTTATACCTGAAGGATTTGAACCAGTGCTAATACCACGTGATACTTCAATACCACCTATAAATGATAACAACAACAACATCGATAACAACGATAATAATAACAACAGGCTTCCTCTTTTACAACAACAACAAAAAATAAAAAAAGTAATTGGTAAAAATAATAATAAAATAAATAATGTAAATATGACAATGCGGGACATTGCCGTATCTAATAATAGTAGCAGTACCAACACCACAAAAACCATCAATAATAATAAGCAATCACCAATAAACTCATCCGCATCATCTTCTCCATCATTATCTTCATCCACGACCACTTCCACATCATCTGATGTACGATTTCCTAAATTAGTTTTATCTCGCACTACTGCCACTCAACAAACTCCGCGGGCCGGAGCTGCAGCTAATAATAATAATAATAATAATAATAATAATAATAATAGTAAACCAATTAAACAAAAGAAGCCTCCGAGACCACCAAACGCCTTCATCATATATCGTCGCTTCAAACAACCCGATATAGTTGCCAAGAATGAAGGCATAACCAACAACGAAGTATCCAAACAAGTTGGAGAAATGTGGCATCGTGAGCCTATGGAAGAAAAATTGAGGTTCCAACGTATGGCCGATGATGCTAAAATGGAACACATGAAAAAATACCCAGAATACAAATACCGTCCTCGTAGACCTCATGAAAAAAGGCGTAGAACAAAGAGACCACAATCATCATCAAATGGTGTTGTTAATAATAACAACAACAATGCTGATGTTGTCGCTGATTCTTCTTCTACTACTGATTCCAATAATAATAACATTAATAATAACAATACTAACAATAATAATGAACTATTAATATTCCAACCACATTTACACAACGATCATAATGAAATTGATCGAAGAGCTTCAATTGATACAGTTAGCACGACAGAAACTTGCTTCGACTATTTCGGTGCTGACGAATCAAGACGTGGTTCAATCATATCACTAAACGATTTTGATTATGGTAATGACTTTGATCCTTTATTTAATGACGACAGCCATGGATTATTAGCAGAAGAACAATTAACAACAATAACATCATCCTCATCATCACCCTCTCCTGATCTTCAATTTAACGTATTGTCCAATCCTGGCAATAACATTTGTGTCGGGTCCAATAACAATTCTTTTAATACTGATGCTTTAGATTTTTTAATGGAGAATGTAAATACACCTGATTTTTCCAAACCAGATTTTCAATTCGACTTTTTTATTAACAATTTCACAACTACCACAACAAACAACAACAATAACAATAATCCAAATGATACATTCGACTTCTTTGACCTAAGCGGCTTTAATTTGAATGATTCTTTACTAATGCCATGCGATCAATCAATACATGGTGATATCATTTAAAAAAAAAAAAAAAAAAAAAAAAAAGAGTTTTTTCTTTAAAATAAAATAAAATATTTGAGTGGGGCCAAGGGTGGATTCATAAAATCTAGTTTTTTTTTTCCAGAAAAAAAAATTTTAAATTTTACTACATCAACAACAGCACACAAATAAGCAGCGCAAAATAATTAGTAAATCAATTAATGTGTATATATATATATATTAAAAAAAATTTTTATTATTATTTATTAATTTAAAAAAAAAAACAAAAAAAAAAAAACAAAACAAAAACTAACGAACGGATGGGAAAAAAAATTTTTTTAACTTTATGTACATACAATCAAAAAAAAAACCCCCCAATTAATTTTTTAATTTTCCCAAAAAAATTTGTGTGTAGTAAAAAAAAACATTCTCCACTAACTAATCAAACAAATAATAAAAATCTTCTCTTTTTTCAATATTTTACTTATTTTCTTATTTTTTTTTTTTAAAAAATTTTTTTCTTGTAAATTTTTTTTTATTTTTTTAATTATTCTTTGAAAATTTTTTTTTGTATTTTAAAAAATTTTTTTGTACGAATTTTTTTATAAATAAATTAGTTTTTTTGTAAATTTAATTAATCATGATGTTAGAAGAAGTGTGTTTCTCTCTCAAACTTCTTTTGCCGTAAAAATTTTTTTTTATTCAGCCTTAGCCTATATTTGATCCTTATTATTATTAGTCAGAATCTTGTTGTCTAAATATTGGATTGAATAAGCGTTTGTGATAAATAATATGATCAAAACAATATCACACAGCCAAAAGACATGTATGACTTGAATCAGCAAAAAATCCGTCTTATCCCAAACACTATATAAAACTAGTAATGATCTCGTTTTTCAATAAAAAATTTCCCAAAGATTCGGACAACTATAATGTTCGTTGTATCTTCGGTCGGTGTGCATGTTTGTTTATTTCTATGTATATATATATAATTTTAAGAAGGGAAACTATTGGGAAAAATAAGGTTTTGTTTGTTTCACTAAATTTACGTTGTGTTTCAGTCAGCAGTCAAAATAAAAAATATAAAATAAAATAAAATAAAATGGAAAAATATAATCTCCAGTTTTTTTGATCTTCAACGTTTACTATAACTATAAACTATAGAAACGATTACGATGACTAAAAAAATCAAGTTTTTATTATATAATATTATTATATAATGACATGTAAACGTTATTACGTTTCATATGTATCATATGCTATTATTAGAAATCTGACGAATCAAAAAAGATCTCAAAAGTGGAAATGATAGTAATATAGTAACAGTAATTCAATACAACACTCCGTCCAACTAACTCCCAACTTGCTAAAAGATTTTGCCAAGAGAGGTTTTACGGAGTTGGTTTGATTACATCCATCATCCTCCGTACATCCAACAACAGGTTTTTCTCATTAATACGTATATATTATTTCGCGCGTGTGTCTGTGTAAGAGATTATCAACCTCTTTGAGTTTGAATGAATGTTACATATATGATGTATTTGATGTATTATCAGGTTGTATCTTTTATAATAATATCAATAGCAGTAATATCAATAACAAAGTAGTGCAAACAATGACGTATCAGTCAATATCATATTTATAATCAGTAAGTAATCTTATTTGTTTATTTTTTATATAATAAGGGTTTCGTATGTTTCAATCATTTTTTCTTTTTAAATCGATTTTTTATTTTATTCGGTTGATAAGTAGTA